TCTTTGACCGGCGTCGCCTCCAACACTGAACTACCCATCTCGGCGTCCCTTTATCCCGCCGAGTTGGCCGCGGCAGGCACGGTTGCTGCGGTCGCAGTAACAGCTGGAAGCGGGTATCCCACGGCAACCCCGATTGCCGGCATTTGACCCCCACCACCACCACCTCCTAACGCCCCGCCGGGCTCAACGTATCCTCCACTTTGGACCCACTCTGGCCATTTGCCCAGCCAGCCCACCAGACTCGAAGACTCACCTACACGCCACCCTTCCTCCCACCTCCACTCCCGAATGCAACTCTAGCAACACGTGCGAACACACACACACACATACGCAAAAGCCAGAGGCAGAGGACCGACCAGAGGTGGAGGGGTGACCAAGACCGAGTCACGCAATCACATGCTCCAGACGTCCTGAAGACTGTCCGTTTGAAGGGTTTGCGTCTGAGAATCTGGCTCCAGAATTGGTCTCCGGTCGAGCTTAACTCGACCCATGCTCTGGCAGGACTCGAATGAGCCTCGGAGACGACTTACACGGGCAGATGAACGCTAGAAATGAGCCCATGTAAAGTCCCATCTGTTCTGGCAGTGAAATATTCCCCTCCCCCCCGCTGTTGCAGCAACATGACTTTTTGTGCGCTGACTTGAATTGTGCCGTTAAATTCATCAAATTTTATATTCCATCAAGTAAATGTCACGAGGGAATGTGATATTATTCATTATGCATATACCCATATACATAAGCATAAATGCATACATCCATTTATGTTGGCATTCTTCCTCTTATCCGATCAGGAGGGGTGATCCAAAAGAGGCAGGCTGGCTTGATCGCGATCACAATCTTGACCGGAGCGGAGAGCGCACCAAATTGGGGTGTGTCTTTCCACCGAACGGTACGGGAGGCCAGACCGTGTGGGTCATTTTGTAGTGCCCAAGTGGGCGAGAACATGCGTCGCAAGAGATTCTATACGGTTTCGGTTTCGCCTGTGTCCCAGATGAGGTGAGCATCAACAGCAAACTCTTCAAGGTAGCACCAACGAACAGGGTTGTGGCCAAAATGGAAGTGGCCATCAGTTGAGAGGGAGAAAAATAGTAGTGGAGGCAAAAATGAATAATATCCAAGACTCCGTTAAGAAGCTAAGACAACTCGACTCTTCCTTTTGAGGATGAGCTTGGTTGGTACAGGTTGTATGGTAACAGTGACAACAGAAGCAAGATCGGCGAAAATGTTCCATTTCAATGGTACAAAGTGGATTCTCAAAATGACCAGTAGCTCTTGAATAAGAGCTGCAAAATAGTGATGAAGGATGGTTGAACGATTGTTTAATTTCTCCGCAATCTAATGAGTAGGCCGTAAGTTTTGCATTCAATTTCACATAAACAGGCTTCCCAGATCTGAGGCCTATTAGACATGATCGTGGAAAAGGTAAAAACTTAATCCGTCATCACCTTAAATTGACTATGCAAATGAACATTTCGTTTTGTATGTCACTTTTCACGATTACCAATAGGTCTCATATAAGAGTTGTGGTTTCGCATTCGTTTAGAAAGTTACTTTGTACGATACTAAGTCACGCAATGGAAATTATGATATTGTAAGTGTTAAAGGCAAATGTAAGAATAAAAGCTGTGTTTAGAAGAATGTCTCGATGATGAATTATGACTCGAAATTTCATTTCAAAGGAGTACAGAGTGCTCGGGCTCGAGTCTTGCCGAAGGTGCTGGTGAGACTCGGGCGTGGTGCAAATTGCAGTCTAGTCGAGTCTTGCTGAGCAAAGCGTTTTGGTAGCAAGACTATGTGAAATTGAATGAAATGAAATAGGATGAATACAGCATTTGGATCAGATTTGCAGGTAATCTTGAAAGCCTACTTATACAATGAAGAAAAGACTATGAGATACGTCCATCCTATGTTGTTCAAGATTATGAAGGAGTGGTAGTTGGATTTTCCCGCAACGATATGAGTAGACCTTATATCCGATAAATTGGTAGTCACGGCAAGCTACTTATAAACAGAAAATAAGTAGTGCAGTCGATTGCTATGGCAAACATAAAACTTTGCTTTATTAACATTCTCTACACAGAGTGTGATATGGGAAAATGCCTGGCCTTCCTTGGAACTCGCACATGCACCCATGGCAACGTGGCATAGTGGTTGACGTGTCGAGATTGTACTTGGCAGTGTCATGGTTCGAGTCCAGCTGGGGCTGCAGAAGAAACCAGTTCTGGCGAGATCAGAACAGTAGCTCACTTCGGCCAGCAAGGCTGTGTGAAATTGGAAGAAAAGTTGAGTTTCGAGGAGTATCGTGTTTCGTAATTGTTGAGTTTACTTCCGTTTCGAGTGAAAGTGTGTGTTTCCTGAAGAAATTCACAAGTTGAGCCTTCCAGAAGACGACAGCGGATTCGTCTTGACGAGCTGTCGATTGGCTTAACCGGAAAATTCTTGTTGACGCTGCTTCTGAGGCAATCTCCTTCGAATACGATGAAAAGGTGCTAAATTTTCGTCCGTCGTATGACGAACATCATCCTTACAACCATATTTAAGCTGTCCAGTCAAGAAAACGCAACGGTTCATCCCTAAATAATGTATCCAGTGATTTGGTGATTTCATGAATCGTTGGCTTAAAATAAACGAAAGTTTAGCACCTTTTCACCTGAATGGAAGGAGATTGCCTCGGAAACAGCGTCACCATGAATGTTCCAGTACAGACAGTCGACAACTGGTC